TCCGTATGTAAATCAGTGGTGGAATATTTGCGTATATCAAACCCTTCGGGCCAAAAAGTTATCGGCTTTTGTTATTTTACTGCCTCTGCTGGCGGTTTCAAAATCATAAAAAACCATTGACCGTCAAAAGCAATATGGGGCAGACATATCGGATTAGTATTAAGAATTATAGTATCATCAAGTTAGTCGGAATATCAGGAAATCCAAAAGTTACTTATTACAATAAAATAAATGAGTAGGTAAATAACACGATTTTCGTTGCCCATGACACATTCTCCAAATGTGTCATTCGTTAATTTCTTAAAGCTTTCCGTTAGCAGCTTAATATTTTCAGCACGTGATAGGGCCTCCCGCGCTAAATCCCAAATATACGACAAAAATCCCAGGGATTAACCGAATATTTACTGACGGGAATTGACTGACTGATGGAAGAGGTTATCCTGGACGAGATTAGAAATATTACGGCTTTCGGAGTGCGTGTTTCGTTTTACGTTAGCCCTGGCTTATTAACGTTATTGGAATTTTCCCTGGTGTTATCTGTTTTTATATTCGGATGGATGAAATACTAACAGAAGTCGTTTATATAAGATAAAATAACCACAGTCTAATTACAAACATAAGACCGTTTTCTTCTCCGACAAAGAGCTTGCTCGGGCTCGGGGTTTCTGTTTGTAAATAAACCAGAGCCTAATTGGAGAGATTGGGCCTGCTCGAAGGACCATGAATTGGCTATTAGTCGGGTAAATACGCTGGTCTGACCTCTGGCCTCATTACGACGCTCGTATTACACCTTTGCTGCACGAATTGGGTAAAATGTAAGCCCTTTTGCTGCTCTAAGGTGTTAAGCCAAACAATTAGTGGCAATGGCATGCTACTTTGAAGGTAGCGTATATTATTAAGTACCTTTGGGAATTTTACACAGCAATAGTCTTGGCGATCTTTTCGGGATTAATCAATCTATTTAAATAATCTAAAAACTCAGTTTAGAATTTATTAAATCTTATACCCAGATCACGTCTTCGCGCTAATGTTAAATTCATCGTCACTCCCGGCGATTTTCTCTGGAAAAGGTAGGAGTGTCCATACGTTCAGAATCCAGCAGCTAGGGCTGCGTGTCTTTTCTCACAATGCGACACCAATTACTGTTCCCCATTAAGGACACGACTTTAGTTCTACATCCTTATTTCAGCACGTAACTCTCTCGATGAATTCAATTCATTAGACGAATTGAATAGTGCGGCTCCTGCGATGCCTAATCTCTATTTTTATTCAGTATTTCGAGCTTGAAATATTTTAGAATAATTTTTAAATTAATAAAATTCATACTGCAGACGTATTTGTTTTTGTTCCATCCCCCGTAATCTGATCAGGTAATCAAATCCCCATAACTCAAGATTCATTTATAAACTGACGCTGAGAAAAACCAAAGGAAAAGCCACTTAAGGGTTTCCATCTGGATGCGCTTGGTTGATCGCGCGTTCCGCGGGGCTGATTTAAAATTGTACCCAGGAATTTTCATCGGCGGGGAGGTTAAAAATAAATTTGATTTTTAAGCTACATAAAAGTTGTCATAAATATGCTTTTAGGGACGAAGAATAAAGGAATTGTTTAAGTAGATTACGGGCTCGAGGCAGAGGGTCAATGTTTTAATTTTTTCTTTTATTAAGGAGCAAATAACTGTAAGGGGGAGATTCTTTTGTATTCTCACGCTTTTAGAATCTTTGTTCCAATAAAATAATAAACGTGTTATTCAAGAGCACCAGGATTTTCCAATGTAAAAACATTAAATGTATATCGCTATTTGATAAATGGTGTAAAAAATACGTAGGTACAAAACAAGACAATTCAAAAATATTAAAAATTAATCATTTCCTGTGGCAATTTATTTTGATGGCCACGTAAATTTGGAAGATGGGGGCTTTGATTCTTGCCGGCTCATCCGCCAACGGTAAATTTGTTTTCGTTATTCTTAAATAAATAATTGGATTCGATAAGAAATTATTACCAAACCAAATTAATTCTTGTTTTTTTTTTTTTTTTTTTTCGTTTTTCTTCGCTAGTCAAAGTCAGTAAAATATCCGCCCAATAATAAATCTCGAATAAATTTATGCCGGCTCATTGCACCGCAAAAGCATAACATAAAGCAAAAAGCTTTTCTTTCCGAAATTAGAAATATGCCCTCCTGCGGTCGTTGGCGGCAAGACGGCAGATTTATAACTTTCTATGCAGGTGTGTAAGTTATACGCGGGGCCGCGGAATAAAATATGAAATAGCGCGCGTCGCGACGGGCCCTTTGATTTATTAGCGGTCTTCATTAAGCACTGGCGGTTTTCCGTTTTACCACGCATCACATTACCGCTCCGGGGTCGTAAATAACGGATAACGGATGTATTATGTAAGAGTAAAGTGTATATAACAATATAGGAAGACAGAATGAATATGTCTTTTCAGTGGCGATCTACCATAAATCTTTGATTCACATTATTGACATTTCCATTGAACAAAATGCTGATTAAATGTACATAATCTTGGTCCGAAGTCGTGCCAAGAAACCACAAAAGTAGTAGACGTGGGGGCTCTTGAGGCTGTATAAAAGATACATGAGACGCGATTCGGTCGACTGGACTTACATGCAGATCCTTTCATCTTGATTTAGTAATGGCGTGTCTCTGGGGCGATATGAATACACATAAATATCAAGTTTGGCAGCCTTTCAACAGAACTGTTTTAGAAAAAAGCATATATTTTAATATGAAATAGAATCCTGATTAGCGTTAGTTTTTTCTTTTAACATTATGCCTTCTATGTGTGTTATCTTTTCAAAACCCGATGTTTTATTCTGTTCAATTAGCTCTATTAGTCGGGACCCGTTTCTTTATGCAATTACATCCTGAAGTAGAGTACAAATCGCGGCAAAACCAGGAAATAAATTCAGCTGATGAGGGCTATTCATAAGACCCCACTCTCTCTGTTTCCCCACGGAGAATAGTAGTTGGTACTTTCATATTGGCGGTATAGTTGCTGAAAAGGCGTGAATTGTAACAGCTCGGTGTGGCGGCAATGTAAAATGTCATAAAGCAAAGGAAATAGCGACCGTGAGAAGAAAGTCGGTGTTTGGAACAAAGAGTTTTGGTTATATGTTTTATGAATAATAGGGCTGAAGTTTCATGAGATATTGTTTGAACATACAACAACAAAAAAAGACTTGAAAACTTATTATCTTATTATACTACGGTAAGATGTTTTATTGTTTGACTTTATACAAAATTTAATTCACTAAAACATTACATATCATTGCGATAATAGTTCAGTGAATTTTTATATTTATATTTCATACTAATCTCGGGGTTTTTCAAATAGGTATGTTTTATAGATTTTTTTGTTGTTGCATGAAGATTCCTATAACTTTTTTATATTCGCTCCCATTATTCCAAAATTACGGCCAATAAGATGTTTAGTGACCGTAAACTCGGAATTAAATAATATTACGGAACGATTTAGCCTGGGGGCTCCTTTGTTACGGCATAATCCGGGATATACAGGACCCGTCAGCTGCGTCACATTTTAATACACGTAAAATTAAAATTAGGCCTTCATTTGCATCGCGTAATGGGGAAAAACCTCAAACTTTGCTCGGCGCTGCCACACCGAGACGTCTTTTCTACTGGATGCTTTAAGCCAGATATTCTCCGGGTGTACGACAGACATCCAGTCCAAATATAAAGCTATATGTGGAAAATATTGCTGAGAAAATATATGGAAATGATAATTTCAAAAAGTATTTAAAATTATGATCATCGCATAGGAAGATCTAGCAAGCTACTAGCAAAAAAAACTAAGTTCTCCACATTTCCGTAAATATTCCATCACGGCCAAATGAAATTATTCGACGAATTACTGATTAAATGTACATAATCTCGGTCCAAAACTTGCCAAGAAGCCACAAAAGCTCCAGCGGACCTCTTGAGACGGCATTAAAGATACATGAGACGCGATTCGGTTGACCGGACACATATGCAGATCCTTTCATGTTGATTTAGTAATGGCGTGTCCCCGAGGCGATATGAATACACATAAATATCAAGTTCTGCTTTCTGGGAGGGCCGAAGCAGAATACCGACAAAGTTTCCAAGTAGGTCCGAACGGTGCATTATGTAGCTGTTAGGTTAATCTCTTTTATATGAGATAAAATATAGGATGTCAAAGGGGATGGATTTATTACCAAATGGAATTTGGAGTAATTACTGGGGATTATTCAATTTTCATAAGGAAAATCGTACAAATGTAGTAAAAATTTAAAATTAGCAAATTTGAATTATACAAATAATGATGGTCTGAAAAGGAGATAATTCTGAATGGTATAACATACATTTTTATTTATTTTTTCAAATTTACGCTTCGCCCGAACGAATTCTTGAATCTGATCGGTGAAAGTTCGCATGACACGATGCATTATTTCTAAATGCACACCAAAATCATCAGAAAAATAGGTTGCAAGATTAATATAAAAAATAGGTAGACCTCATGAATACTTCTAGGCTTGACAACACAAGTGGAAGTAGTCGCATGCCAAAAGGTACGGCAAACTTAAAAGCCATCCAATATATTTAGGCCGTGTGGGGTTTGCTAGTCCTCAATCGGCCGCCTCTCCAGTTGGCGGATAGGGGAATGCTTTTCAGATATGGGTGGTACCGAGTAAATCAAATACTCGGGGCGGACCAAAACTAGCACCTAGGGTACTACGGCTTCCGTGTTAGGAGCGCTAGTCCGACAGCGTCTGTTCTCCTTGTAGAAGCGGCTGAAAACATAGTCGGGAAAGCAACGAGAAACTACTACCTGACTAACTATATTCCCCAAGACATCACAATGGATACACAAAATCAAACAACGGCCCTCAGTCCCGGACACCCCTTAAATGAGGAGAGGGTGCTGAGGATCCCCCGGTCGTCCAACGATGTCTTCAAAATAAACCGAGAAAAGATAATTGGCACCTGCAGAGTATGTACCAGGCTGGAAAAGCAGCAAACTTAGTGAAAGAGGCGAAACGACTACAGATCAACATACTGGGATGCAGCGACACAAGATGGCCAAACTCGGGGCACTGCATTGTAAATCAACACTACGTATTCTTCTCCGGAGAGAGTTTCACCAAAAACAAAAACGGAGTAGCGATAATTCTTGAAAAGCCAACCAACGAAGCTGTGATTGGATTTACACCAATTTCGAGTAAAGTGGCACTAATCAAAATGAACGCAAAGCCATTCGACATAAACGTTATACAGTCATATGCACCAACGTCGGAAAGCAGTGAACAAGAGATAGAAGAGTTCTATGAACACAGAACTGCTCTGAAAAAGAGGGAAGTAGTTAACATATTTCTGGAAGACATGAACGCTTAGGTTGGACAAGGAAAGATCGAGGACCTGGTCGGTTTCGAGCTGGGAGCGAGAAATAAAAGGGCAGAGCGCCTAATAGAATTCTGCGAAGAAACAGATTTCACAATCATGAATACCTTTTGCAAGCTACCTCCCAGAAGACTCTACACTTGGCGATCTCTGGCTGTCAGCAATCATAAAATTGTAAGAAATCAGCTTGACTTTGTGATGATAAACAGAAAATATCGCAATGCGGTTGTCTCCTGTAAAACTTTCCCCGGCGCGGACATACCATCGAACCACAAACTGTTGGTAGCTCGCACCAAGCTCCGACTAAAGAAAATATTTAAAAAAAGACTTCCAGAAACTACAGACGAACGGAAACTCAAACAAGATAATGTACTCCGACAAACTAGAGTGAAGATAAACAACGTACTCAAGAGTATATCCGAGAATGACAACCAAGGAACAGAAATAGAAGACCTGTAGAATAAGGTAAAAGTATAACCTCCGTTGCAGAGGAAGAACTGAGGCCGGACTGGACTGCAAACAGACAAGAATGAATGACAAATACTATCCTGGAACCTATGGAAGAGAGAAGACAATACAAAAACAAGGACACAGTAAAATACGAGGAACTACACAAAAGAGTTGTGAGATCAATCAAGGAGGCTGAAGAACGGTGGATACAGGAAAAATGCAACGAAATTGAGATATTACAAGCAAAACACGACAGCTTTAATATTCAATTGAAAATAAAGGAATGTATCAAAAACGGAGTGCTGACAGAAAGATGGAAACAGTATATGGAGGAGCTTTTCGGAGACGGAACCTTCGACAATGTGACTGCAGTGGTTGGTGAGGAGGGGCCCATCATGACACAGGAGGAAGTGGAGTTAGCAATTGAACGACTGAAGAACAAGAAACCCCCAGACCAGATACATGGAGAAGTCCTCAAACCACTGGAGTCACAACGAGTTAAATTGCTAAGCACCCTCTTTAATAAAATCCACATAAGCGGTCAAATGCCAATCCTTTGGCTGTTGTTAACATTCATCCCGCTTCCCAAAAAGCCTAATGCAATCAAATGCTCTAACTACAGAATAATCAGCTTGATGAGCCACGCAATGCCTTCCTTAACATCATATAAGCACGCATATATAAACGACTCGACGAGAACGTGAGTGACACCCAGTTTGGAATCAGGAAGGGACTGGTTACTAGAAAGGCATTGTTCTCCATACAAGTTCTAATTCAACGAGCACGTGACGTTAACGCAAGCGTTTTCGCATGATTTATAGATTTCGAAAAGATCCTCGACAAAGCTCAGCATAGTAAACTTATCTTAATCCTACATGAGTCAGGAATTGACAAGAGAGATACAGAAGTGATATCAAAGCTCTACCTTCAACACCAGACGAGTTTAGCGTAAGAAGAGGAGTCAGGGTTGTATACTATCGCCTCTCTTATTCAATAATAAATAATTTGAGATATGCAGACGATACCGCCCTCATAGCTGATACTGCTAAGTGACTTAGACCGACATGACCGGCACGTTGGCGCTTTGATAAAGGACGACAGGACACCCTACTCAAAGCCAAGCAACGCGGTGTCGGGTTGGAAATTGGATGGGTGACCGCAGTAGTACGGGACGGTGGGTCGACCGCGCTGCCGCCAATCATCTGATCTGCAAGTATGAATGAGAAGTATGAATGAGAGAAGTATGAATGAGAAGGAGTAGAGCCCATACGAATGACATACAAAAAGCCTATAAAGGCTGCAGTGTAGAGTATGGGCTCGAAAGGGTGAAACCAAAAATCTAAATCTAATCTAGACCGACATGCGACAGATCTGATATGAAGATAAACTGCAAGAAAATGCAAACGTTGATCATCAGTAAAAACGATGTCGGAAACCTACAGTTCACCGCTAACAATGGTCGAGACAGTTACATACCTGTGCTGCAATCTTGATGGACTGGGACCATTCTCAGGAAATATGAAGCCAAATTGATAAAGCAAGAGGGGCATTCAATAAGATGCGAAATGTGCTGTGCAATCTATCTCTTAACGTCCGTACTAGAATCAGGGCATTAGGATGCAACGTCCTCCAGACCCTCCTGTATGGAGCAGGAGCATCGACACTTACCGATGCGTCATGCAAACGAATGAGATGTGGTGCTATCGCTGCATGCTCAGGATCTTGGGGGTGCATCATGTGTCAAACGAAACAGTCTTGCAACGCATTGATGGAGAACTAGAGTATCTAGAAAACGTCAAACGCAGAAAACTAGAATACTTTGGGCATATCATCCGAAACAAAAAATATCATCTACTTCAGCTCATCTTACAGGGAAAGATAGAGGGTCCAAGATCAGTGGGTCGCTGACGTATATCGTGGCTGAAAAATTTAAGAGCATAGACCGGAATGACATCAATAACTTTGTTCAGAACTTTGGTAAACAAGGTGATATGGACCAATGTGATAGCCAACATCCTCAGAGGATAGACACTTTTAGAAGAAGAAGAATGTATTCAGGCCTTGAAATGGAATAGTTGATTTTCTTGAATCGTGTTCAACTATGCTATCAAAAACTGAATGATCATTTTGATACAACGGGCAGAATTGACGGTCACAGCATAATACTGAAAAATGGGTGTCGATGATTTTCAATGAAAAAGTGTCACTCCAAAAATTCTAGGTAAGTAAGTTTTTATCGAGTCTTAGATGCTTTCGGACTGTGCTACTCTAATAACATTTTTGAAACTTCCCAGGGGAAAAGAACAACTTTTAGGTTAGTTCATTATATCTGTATTCCCGAACGGGTCATCTGTCTGGTATACAGATGGATCGAAAACAGAGCAAGGGACTGGAGCAGGGGTATACAGCCCACTTTGAAGACAATCAACGGCCTTAGGAGAAAGCCTAACCATATTTCAAGCGGAAATATTAGCAGTAGAACTTTACGCTAGAAAGTGTCCCGGAAGAGACCGCGAAGAGCGAAAATCTATATCAATTTCGACAGTCAGGCAGCACTAAGTAGCTCTGTCATAGTCCAGACTGGTATGGGATTGCCAACAAGTCCTAAAGCAACTTGCGTCTCGCAATAGAGTCACCCTGTCATGGGTATCAGGACACCAAGGAGTCGAGGAGAATAAAATAGCAGACCAACTTACAAGACAAAGAGTTGCAACACCATTCCTTGGACCAGAATCTTTCTTTGGCATAACGAAAAGCCATATAAGTCCAGAATTGGGTAAAGGCTCAACAAGCCTCCCGCAGGAACACGCTTCCAGGACAGGCGAAACAATCTCGGCCCAGTCAATAAAGGTAAAAGGAAATTATGACCTTGGTAAAACGGATCTAAGGCTGCTTACAGGCCCCTCACGGGTCACTGCCTTCTGGGTTTCCAACTGGAAAAGATGAACGAAACAGAATCCGACCATTGTGCCGCAGATGACTCATCTATCTGGAACAGCCCAACTTCACGGCTGTTGATGTGAAAAAAGCCAATCCCAGGAACATTATAGGGCTTTGCAAGAAGCCTGAATCTGGGAACCCACTAGATATATGGGGGAGCACAAAAGATCTAATCAGGACGCAGTGCAGAGAGGTCCATAACCTAAACACCCCAACCATCACAATCTACAATATAATTCACTAAATACTTTTCGCGTTCTTATCTGAGAGATGATTACATAATTTCGTGAAGTTTCATAAGTTTCCACGGATGAATAACAAACATCATTGTTTCGTAAGTGTCTTCCTCAAATACTGAGATTATTTTTTTTGCTTATAGCTACTGATGTCTTACACAGCATTTAAATAAATTTAATTGAGTCACAAATTTCTTGGGAAATTAATTTTTATTTTCGTCAGTGAATTACTAGCTGATAAGGCGACGAATACGCCGCGATAGGAAAATCAGAAAAGCCGCCTGCTGTTGTAAAGTAGCCGCCGTCGTTGCCTTTAAATAGCTCGGCGGTCGCTTTGTGAAACTTGGCAATTTGTATCTCCTTGTAAAATATTATTTTGTTCGCGTTCCCCGCACTCACTCCATCCACCACGGTTCTGCCTAATATACTCCGCCGTCGTAAATAAGAGCGAAATGGTACGGAATAATTTTATTTTGTCGTTCTGAGACATTCAAAACAGGAAGGTAGAAGGGAAGACTCCTATAAGAAAGTCTTTGAATCCCTACATTTTTTTTTTACTAGACTTTAGTAAAATAATAGAGAATGATTTTTCTTTTTATGTTTTCTTTCTGAAATTACCACATATGAATGCTAATTTAGCAAACTTGAAAACTATATAATAAATAATAATATAGAAAAACTTCAACATTTGAACAGGGTACATAGGATAACGAAATAATTAAACTTTTTCATCTCATACTCGCTGTTTGTGGGCCTAAAATTGCCCTCTTTCATTAGGTATATACACTTTGAGTTAATCTTTACGTCGCATTTCTAAATTTTCCCCGTTAAACCTCGTCAAAATTCCTCACGCACGTAAAGCATCAGCAAAGCCGTAATATTTCTAATCTCGGGGAAAAAGCTTCTGTACTTTGGGCTCTTTGCTCTCCTCTTCGTCAGTCAATTTTCATCAGTAAATATTGAGTTAATCCACGCCCGCTCTCTCTTTAGCTCTGTATCAAGTAAGAGTGTCAATTCGTTTCGGTAGCACTTATTAAAACAAACCTGCTCGTGATGCTTCTTATCCCGCATACACGGTTCCTAATTAAGACTGCTTTGCTTCTCTCTTCCCCCTCGCGGCGATAATCTTTAAATGTATGTGTATGACAGAACCGGAATTTGGGGGGCGGAATATTACTTTCTAGATTGATAAAGTAAGACTTGATTCTTACAAGAGCTAAAGGTTTTCCAAATGACTAAAAATTTTGGTAATTTGTGGAAAATTTTCGCATGCTACAGCTCAGTCCAAGCAACCAATACAAAAAAAGTTGCTGAATTTCTTAATTTCATTTATCAGGCTTCAAAAACATTGAATAGGGACTAGCTAGCACAATAAAGATCAATTTATATATTATTGAAGAAGTTGTTCTCATGTTCTGTTGACGAAGAAGAAATCAAGCACAGGTTACTTGTAGTAATTCAGTGTCATGTTTGTTAATGCTTGTCAGTCAGCGGATGAGATTATTGCTTCTGCTTCTATTTTTTGTTTGAAAATAATGAAATATTGTCGACGAAGCTGCAAAAGAATATTTTAAATGATGTCCGGCTAACCGCTTTTCATAAGAGCAGGTATTTTACGTCTGTCCCAAAAACTTTTAGCTCGATACATCAGTGTTGATGAGGGTTCTGGAGCAATCTGTGGCTCAGACAGATAATGTTCCATTTCATCATTGACCCTAAACTGACATGGGCAGCCAATGTTGATGTTTTCGTGTTTTGGTATATTTCAGTATACTTTTCTCCGCAAATTAGAAAGAACAGTAATGCAAAAAATTATTTCGCTAAAACAAAAATTGTGGAAAATGTCTCTAGATAAATGATAATAAAAGCATATGTTGTAACATTGCAAATATCACTTGCTTTTTTTTATATACCTAAATAATTTTTTCATTTTATATAATTTTCCAGCCATGTGGCGACATCTATTGCCGGCTGAATTAATTATTTTCTCAAGAATGCCATAGGCACTTTCTTGTGTACTACCTTGATCTACTCGACGTAGTAATTTGTTGCTCTTTAACCTCGTTAATAGTTTCCGAACGTAGTACTTTTCACATCACAACACTTCAAAAATATCAAGTGAAATCTATTTATTCTAGAAGAGAAAATTGAAGAGTCGCTTTTCTAATCTAGCCGTTGCCCTGAGAGCTCGACTGTGGCTTA